GGGATTCCTTTGTAGGGGCTCCAACCCGCCCATTGAGGATTCTCTTTGGGTTTCATCAAGCGTGGCCTCGGGGGATCCGTCCGAGTGTCCATGGCTTAGTTAGTCAAAAGGAACCTTAGCCTATAGGGTTAAGTGTAGATAAACAACGGGAACTGAATATAAATAAATAGTTGATCATTATATTTGATAATGATATTTGTTGATTCTTCTGATGTTGTATGATTATATATTGATGGGTGCTAGTTTATGAGTTAGTTCTAGCGTTAGATACTTCCACTCTCCCTATTTTTACAGGTAGAGATTAAGGATTGGATGAGGAGCAGCCTGGACAGCAGTGAGGCGTGACGTTGGAGGATGGCCCGAAGCTGTTTAACTTAAATTAAATATAGTTTGTTGGATTTGTTTACTTAAATTACTAGAATGTTGAATGTTGTTTTCAAGGCTTCCGCAACGTTTGTTTTAATTACTCCGATTAAATGATGAATTATTTTCAATAAATATGAATGTTTGTTTTATTTCCAAATGTTTTTAAACTATTGTGCATGTGCATACCAAATTAGTGACAACCCGACTCGCTAACTCGTCGGTTTGGGTTACGCGGGTTGGGGTGTTACATTCTCGCTACAGTTTTTAAAGTTTTTTTTAAAGAAATATTTGTACTAAATAGCACTAAAACTTAAGTCATTTCTCTAAATAGCACTTAAATTGTTTTATTCCCTAAATAGCACTTAAGAATGTCCACAATGACCGATGGCAAATATTTACTTGAATAATGACGAATGGATAATAACTAAAAATGCTATATTGAAAAGAAACACATGTAGTGCTATATATTTAGGGAAAGTCATTATGTTTTAATGCTATTTATGTAAATTTATCTTTTTTAAAAATAAGTTATTGAAACTAAAAATATGAAACTAAAAGTAATATTTAGAAAAAGCCTTAAAAAAGTAAATGATACTAAAAAATGAGTTATATGATTTAATATAAATTTAAATTAAATAAATTTGACCAGATCAACGTACTCATCTAAACATTTCATAAAATAACATAGTCATCGTCATGCCACCTGTTTTGTAGAATTGGTTATATAATTTTGTATTATTGTAAATATTTTATTTATAACTGCGACATTAGTTTTAGTTTTGGCGAATTTATTAATCAGTGCATATTGTTAACTCGTCGGAACACAAATATCGATCGGTTGTTTTCATTATTGTAATTAATTAGATTATACAAATAATTGAATAAACCTTATAAAAAGGAATAACCTAGCTAATTAATAGGATGTGTACGTGGAGTTTATGCTTGTTCAACAACATTAAATATTTCACAGCGAGGGTCCGGGGGCGGCAGCCCCTGGTAGCTGGGTCCAAGGGGCGGCAGCCCCTAGCTGGGGTCAAAAATAAATTTTACTCTTATTTTGAATATAGTTCCAAATTTTTTTTTGGAACGTTGTTGTTTTATGAAAGTTCTTTGAATTTTTTTTATTTGGAGTCTAAAATGAAGTCCAAAATAAATTGAGTAACTATATTCAAAATAAGAGTAAAAAAAATATTTTATTTAATTTATCAAATAATAAAAGTAATCCTTTTAAATAAAAAAGCAACACACCCTCTCCTAAAAACCCTCTCCTAAAAACGAAAACACTCAAACCTTCTCCCACTTCTTGGATAAAAATGTAAATAGAATGAGAATAGGAATATACAAATAGAACGGGCATACCCGAGCTCAAAATAGGCGAAATGCCAAAACCATAGAGCAAATTGGCTACAACACAAATTCGTCATACAACCACGACAGCACAACCAAAACCACAGCACACAGGCCAAAAAACACATACAGACACCAACCAAACATAAACCAAGGTATTGACAAACATCAGCACGCAGGCCCAAGTAACAACGAAGCACACCAAACATAAAGATCAAGACGGAAAGGAGTACAAAGGCCACAGTCTTCCCATGATAGAGTAGACCATGACTTTGATTTTACAAATCACAACCTCAACCCGTAGAGGTTCATGTTCAAAACAAGTTGCATTACGTTGTTTCCAAAGGTGGAATACCGTACATGCCAAAGCCAGTTTCCTCATCTTCTTCAAAAGCGCACCACCTCTTCGAAAGGTTCTCAGCCATCAGATTGCCCTGTCCAGTGACCCCAACTGTCCCTCTATTCCAAGCCATAACTTAATAGCTGCCCAAACCTGCCTTGAAAAAGAGCATTGAAAAAACAGATGATCCACATCCTCCAGGCCTTGACCACACAGAGTACAGTCCAAGGGTAAACCCAAGAATTCCAAGTTAGCTTTAGTGGGCAACCTCCTCCTAAATGCAAGCCACATCGTAAAGGAGCACTTTGGGGGAATAGTTGAATGCCAGATAAAGGACATCCAAGGCTTGGGATTAGCCTTAACCCTAAACAAATCATAAACCTTACTCGGAACAAGGTTTCCTCCCATACAAAGAGTTTGCATAGCCACTTCCAAAGAGGGAATATGATCACCAAGCTTTTGGATCAAAAGCCCGCGC